ACCGGAGGTCGAAGCACCAAGTTTCTTGCTCGCGGCCAACCATCTCTACGAAATCTAGCCGCAGTCTCACTAGACCAGCACTTGTTCTTCCCCTCAATATTACGCCTGAGAAATCACTACTGGTTAGCGCGCAATCACAGGCATCTTGGAGCGTTTCAATAAAATAATAATGCTAATAAATACGAATTTCTATTACTACTACCAAAAGTCTTAATCGTTTCTCTTACTCTTTTTCACCTATTTATTGCTGACAATTTCGCTGTAAATGGCCGTTTCAAATGCATCATCTGCAACACACTGTCACACGCTGGCCGCGCCCACGCTAGCTGCTGCACCAGCTAACACATAATAAACAATAAAAATAAAAAGATAAAATTAAAAAACACCATTAAAAAATAAAAATAAAAAATAAACAAATATATATTTATGTGTCAGTGTCCAGCACGCTAGCGTGCGGGTACTTGGTGTGTTGCAGTTGAGGTCATTTGACGGCACTTACAGGTGATTTTATAGTGTGAGATAGAGTAGAGAAACATTGAAGGACTTTGGTGTAAAATACATTTCGTGGTTTATTAACCTTCTTTTTTTTACATTGAGACGTTCAAGTGCTTGTCATCGCGCAATGCGTTTAGGAACAGACTTGTAATATGGGAGCGTTATTCTAATAATGCGCTTCCGTTCCATGAACGTAGACGGGGTATCCAAAACATCTAGAGCGAGGGCGACACAGCGTCATCGCGCAACTTAGAGAAGCGCGAGCGCCACGGCTCCAAGGGCATCTGACGTAGAAGATAGATACGCCCCGTGCGATCGAAAACCACACACGGCACGCAGCGCACGCACGCACGCACGACGCAACGCCGCCACACACGCACGCAGCGCGAACACAACACCACACCACACCACACATCCACACAGCATACACCCCACACCACACACACACCAACGGCTTACACACGACACACACAGCACACAACACACACCACACACACACACACACACACACACACACACACACACACACACACACACACACACACACGCACACACACACACGCACACGCACGAAATGCACGCAATGCACGCACGTACGCCCTCACTCACACCATCCCCACAAGCACGCACCCGATTTCGGCAAATGGAGCGAGAATCACGAAGGCTGGGACACCTACATAATGAACGCACAACTGAACATGCGAGCGCAAGCTGAAAATCGGAAATTAAACCTGCCAGTTATTGTCATGAAAGACTGCTGCAGCACAAGATAGATTGAATTAATTCTTATCTTCTTAAATCTTATTTCTTCATTCTGGCTTATTTCTACAATCAAGAGTGTTTATTTTTTCTACAGTTTCGCATAATATATGGGCTCCTTAAATTTGACACATATCTCGGCTAGTGAGCGTCTTGCGACCACACAGAAATCTACATGGCGCCAGAAAACGCATCGTACTGACAATTTTACGATTGTGACGATAAACTTAATAAATAATGTATAGTGAAACAGTCAGACATATACGAATTAGTGATCTATAATAGTCAAACCGCTACAGAGACGTGCAGTAAAATTAAACATATAAATTCAATCGGAAGTGCAGAAAATAATGTTACGATGCATTCTATCAAGAGCGTATAAAGAAGGAGAGCGTACAACGGTGAAATAGTGAAACCATGTTGCAGTATTTGTATAATTAAGAAACTGCCCGTTTTATTTTGACGATTGTATGCGGTATTATTGATCAGCTGTCCTACCTTGTCAATATAAAACAAACCCCTTGTCCCTACGATGCTCCTACGCTGAGATAATAAGCGGTGAAAATCTGGTATTTTCGCAGAAAACCGATTCGAGATCACTGTTTACTGCGACTGTCTCTCGCTTTGTGGCCAGTGTATTGCTTCCGGTCGCCGCTGTGTAGCGCCATGGTAGCGCTGACTCACGTCAGTACTACATAGATTACTATACATCGAGCGTGAGGTGGGCACAGGTGGGGGTCATCACTATGACAATCAATAACAGACGTCATTCATTCCATTTGTCAATCATTGACGGAAACACGCGAGGTTTCCCGAAGTTATCTCAAAGCGAGAGACAGTCGCAGTAAACACTGATCTCGAGTCGGTTTTTGGCGAAAATACCAGATTTTCACCGCTCATTATCTCAGCGTAGGGGCATCGTAGGGACATGCGGTTTGTTTTATATTAACAAGGTAGGACAGCTGATCAATAATCGTCTGCAGAGAATCGTCAAAATAAAACGGGGAAAGTTTATTAATTCGACTAATACTACAACATGGGTTCAGCATTTCACCGTTGTACGCTCTCCTTCTTTATACGCTCTTGATTCTATACACGTGGGTCTACAACAATTATTCCAATTAGAACTGCTGCTCACTCTGATAACACAGTCCAATTAACATAATTCGAATACGACACGGCACAATTTAAATATGACATCTTACGAACGAATTGGCACATTCACGAGTAAGATGAATTTCTATTCATGATGTACAGTAGTGTTACTAGAAGATCGACAAATACAATTTATTTCTATTTACGTCGCATCATTTTGACACTATTTCGTTAATATATGCAGCACTAACCGCTGAAGCTGCTGCACTTCTGTCCGTGGCCATATATCTACTACATGCATCAGCTGCGAGGTGAATACAGACGTAAGTGTACACGTGTAAACATACAAATGTATTACGCACAGTATAGATATATGCAAATTTGAGTGTGTACGTGAAAGGTCATAACCACACTTATAGTTATACCTCTGTCGCATAGTCAGTGTTGCAGTCCTAATATATAGCAGTGAAATATCGCAGTGTAATGTCACTGAATTTAGAGCGAGCTAAAGTCGAGATACCTTTTATACTGACGTTAGCTCGGGTCTGAAGCAGACCTGAACCACCCCCTAGAGTGGGATAACTTTAGCTCGGGCTAAGTATGTTTCGACCTTTTATACTGCGGGTTATCCCGCTTCAGGTCCGGACCTGAAGCGGGATAAACCCCAGTATAAAAGGGGTATTAGTGGGGTTAGATGCTAGGGGTATGCTAATAGTTCTAATTTACTACATCGTTACTAATCAACGACCTCTGACCGACTGAAGCTCTCACACGTTTATAGCTCGAGAATTATGTCGAAATTTTGAAAAACGCCTCAAGCGTCATAATTAAAAAACCTTCCCAAGGTTATCGCGCTCACCGGATTTCAAAACGGACTACCTTTCATCGCCCGAGTAAAGCACACACGGATGCGTAAGAATTACAACAACAAAGATTCTTTTTATTCTGATACATTCTGATGTGTTTTATACGTGAGAATTAGAATGCTGTAGAAACTAGACATTGCGTATCTATTTTTAATTTGTACTTTTTTTATGAACGTTAATATTATAATTTAATCTTCTCACCCTCATCTAATAAAATTCTATAGCCGCTTTAACGAGACTTTATTCAAATGAATGCACGGCGCACAGACGAATTTTTTCCTCCCGAAATGACGTCGTTACGGTTGTAACTTATATCTGCTATATATAAGTATTGCGCTACTAATTCTAATATTTTTAACTTGTAAGCCGAGCACAGTTACGATCAGCCCGGATTATCGGATTTTCCCATTCCCAAAATTGTTAAAACGTGTGGTAATGGCGCAGCCGCTGCCGTCGCTACAGTAATAGTTGCTCATGTAGCGGCAACACGTATAACGAGTGACTGACTAAAGTCGCTGACAGTACTGGGTACCACGGCGCTTCTTCCGGACTGCAACACTGATCGTAACCGAGGCGTCAATGCAGTGCCCAACTATATGTGATAAAAAAATCGACTAGGAACAGTGCGATGGTGCATGAACACACAAACGCACGCACGCACGCATACATACACACATAACACGCACACGCACACGCACACGCACACATACACACACGCGCGCTTCCACACACGTGCACACTATCTCTCACTCTCACACACACACACACACACACACACACACACACACGCGCGCGCACGCGCGCTTCCACACACTCTCTCTCTCTCACACACACGCGCGCGCACGCGCGCTTCCACACACTCTCTCTCTCACACACACGCGCGCGCGCACGCACACGCACGCACACACACACACACACACACACACACACACACACATACACACGCACACACAAACACATTCACCTACAAAGACGCACGCGCACACGCGCGCACACATACCGATAAGTGCGACACACACACACACACACACACACACACACACACACACACACACACACACACACACACACACACACACACACACACACACACACACACACACACACGACGTACGTACGTAACGTACGTACGGTAACGGTACGGTACGAACGAACGACGTACGGTCGGTCGTCG